TTATGAATAAAAGAAGAGACATTACAATTGATACCAAAAAAAAAACAAAGAATCATAAGAGGCTACTATGAATAACTATACCCTAGCAAACTATGACCTAGAAGAAATGAAAAATTATTAGACACACAACCTAGGAAGACTGAGTCAGGAATAAATAGAAAAATTGAACAGAGCAATTACTAGTAAGGAGATTGAATCAGTAATCAAAAATCTCCAACAAACAATAGGCCAGGATCACATAGCTTCACTGATGAATTTAACCAAACATTTAAAGAATTAATGACAATCCTTAAATTCTCCCCAAAAATATCTAATAGGAGGGAACATTCCCAAACACATTTTATGAGGCCAGCATCACCCTAATACCAAAGTAAGCAAAGAATACTACAAGAAAAGAAAACTGCAGGCCAGTATCCCTGATGACTAAAGAAGCAAAATTTCTCAATAAAATACTAGCAAGCCAAATTTAGAAGCACACTAAAAGGATTATTCACCATAATCAAGAGGAATTTACCCTTGGAATGGAAGGATGGTTCAACATACACAATCAATAAATATGATACATCACATTAACAGAATGAAAGAAAAAGATCTTATCATCTCAATAGATGCAGAAAAAGCATTTGGCAAAATTCATCATCCGTTCATAATGGAAACTCAACTTATTAGGTAGAGAAAGAATGTAGATTAACATAATAGGGCATACATGATAAGCCCACAGTGAACTTCATACTCAATGGTGAAGAGCTGCAAGTTTTTCATCTAAGATCAAGAACTAGGATGCCCACTCTCACCACTTCTTTTCAACATAGTACTGGAAGTCCTAGCTGGGCAATCAGGCAAAAAATTTAAATAAAATAAAATAAATAAAATAATAAAATAATACAATATAAAATATAAAATATAAAATAAAATAATAAAATAAAATGAATCCAAATTGGAAAGGAAGAAGTAAAATTGTATCTATTTGTTGATGACATGATTTTAAATAGAGAAAATTCTGAAGACTCCACCAAAAAGAACTGTTAAAACTAATCAATTAATTCAGTAATGATGAAGAATACAAAGTTAACATACAAAAATCAGTAGTATTTCTATACTCTAACAACAGATTATCTGAAAAAGAAAAAAGTGCCATTTGTAACAGAATTAAAAAAAAAAGATATTTAGGAATAAATTTAACCAAGGAGGTGAAAGATCTCTACACTGAAAACTTCAAAGCACTGATGAAAAAAATTGAAGACACAAGTAAATGGAAAGGTGTCCTGTGTTCATAGATAGGAAGAATGTGTACTGTTAAAATGTCCATATCCAAAACCGCCTGTAGATTCAATGCAATCTCTATCAGGATTCCAATGGTATTTTTTACATCAGTAGAAAAAAATCATAAAATTTATTTGGAACCACAAAAAGCCCACGTAGCCAAGGCAATCCTGAGAAAGAACAAAGCATGAGATATCACACTTCCTGATTTCAAGTTAAACTATAATGTAATAAAAGCAGTATGGTGCTGGAGTAAAAATATTCATATTGACCAATACAACAGGATCAAGGCCACACATACAGCCAACAAATACTTAACAAGGAAGCCAAGAATACTCAGTGGAGAAAAGACAGTCTCTTTAATAAATGGTTCCAAGAAAATTGAAATTTCATATATAAAAGAATGAAACTAAACCTGTATCCTATACTACTCACAAAAAGTAATTTGAAATGGGTTAAAGACTTAAATTTAAGAGCCAAAACCATAAAACTCCTAGAAGAAAACATAGGAAAAAAGCTCTTTGACATTGGTCTTGGCAATGATTTTTTGGATATGACACCAAAAGCACAAGCAGCAAAATAAAAAATAAACAAGTGGAACTACATCAAATTTAAAAACCTTCTTTCTACACAGCAAAAGAATTAACAAAATGAAAAGATAATCTATGGAATGGAAAAAAATATTTTAAATCATATATGTGATTGGTGTTAATATCCAAAATATATAAAGAACTCATATAACTCAGCAAAAAAAGAAAAATAAAATATCAACCAAATTAAAAAATGGGCAGATCTGAATTTTTTCAAAAGATATATAAATGGCCAACAGGTATGTAAAATCACTAATCATCAGGGAAATGCAAGTCAAAACCACATGTGACATCACCTCACACATGTTAGAGTGGTTATCATCAAAAATAGAAGAAATAACAAGTGTTGGCAAGGATGTGGAGAAAAGGGAGCCCTTGTGCACTGTTAGTGGGACTGTAAATTGGTGCAGCCACTAAGGGAAACAGTATAAAGTTTCCTCAAAAACTTAAAAGTGGAACTACCATATGATCCTGCAGTTTCATTACTGTGTGTATATCTGAAGGAAATGAAAACACTTATCAAAGAGATATCTCCACTCCCGTGTTCATTACAGCATTATTTACAATAGCCAAGACATGGAAACAACTTAAATGCCCATCAATGGATGAATGCATAAAGAAGTTGTGGAATATATATACATATACAAAGGAATATTCAGGCACTAAAAAGAAGGAAATCCTTCCATTTGTGACAATATGGACAACATGAACCTTGAGGGCATTATGCTAAGTGAAATAAGTCAGACAGAGGAAGATAAATACTGTATGGTCTCACATACGTGGAATCTTAAAAAAAAAAATCACAGGTAAAGAGATCACATTTATGGTTACCAGAGACAGGGGGTAGGGAGTGGAGGGTGGATGAAGGTGGTCCGAAGGTACAAACTACAGTTATGTGACAGATGAGTAATGGGAATGTAATGCACAACATCATGACTATAGTTAACACTACTAGATTATTTGAAAGTTGCTAAGAGTAAATCCTAAAAGTTAGAAAAACTTTTTTTTCTTTTTTGGTATCTATATGAGATGATGAATATTAATTAAACTTATTGTGGTAACCATTTCACAATACATGTAAGTCAAGTCACCTTGCTGTATACCTTAATATTACACAGTTCTACACATCCATAAAACTGAAAACCAACAAACAAAAGAACAGCACATATTCTTATCTTACAGTTCTGGAGCTCAGAAGTCCAACACAGTCTTACTGGGCTACAGTCAAGGTGCTGGGAGGGCTGTGTCCCTTCTGGAGACTGTAGGGGAGAATCCATTTCCATTCCATTGCCTTTTCCAGTTCCTAGAGGCTGCCGGTACTCCTTGGCTCCTTGCCCCATCTTCCATCTTTAAAGTCAGCAGTGCAGCGTCTTCAAATCTCAGTCTGACTCTGTTTCCATTGTCACATCTCCTTCTCTGACAGTGACCATCTGCCTTGCTAAGGACATTTGTGCTTGTATTGGAACCACCCAGATAATCTTCTCATTTCAAGATCTCTAACTTAATCACAATCAGCAATGTCCCCTTTGCCATGCAATACAAGTTCACAGGTTTTGGGCACTAGGATGCAACTTGGAGGTGGTGGCACTATTCTATCTACCACAATGTGCACCTGTTATTTACATAGTGATTTGTGGATTGAAGAGCTACCAGTGAAGTCTGAACTTTATGTAATTACTCAATTAATATCCCATGGCAACTTAGAATTGTGTTGTAGGTGCACTAGTGTTATTTAAGTAAACCATGGTGTAGTGCCAGAGGCTTTCAGCTCCAGGCAAGTTCACTCTGGATTCAATGAGACTGAGTAACAACAATAGAACACTGTGGGCAGAAGGTTTTATACCAGGCTTTATTCTCTTGGTGGCAGGTTGAGCGCTAGAATTACATCCACATCCAGCAAGTCCATAGTCCGTCTCTGCCTCTGCCAGCTGCCTCCTGAGACAGCACTGGGCAGAGCTCTTTACACAGCAACACAGACAATAATGGCTCATTGCCAAGACATGTGTAAGCATACACCTATGCAGTAGGCCGACCACATCACTGCACATGTGTGGTGGGCAAGCAGATTAGGGTCAGGTGAGCATCCTGGCTGTGGGAACTTCCATTTTCCCCACTGTCTTGCCAGTGGGTTTCACCCCAGGGAAAATTCACTATGGATTCAGTATGACCAAAGATATGGCAGTAAAACATTCTTGGGGTGAAAGGGTTATACCCAACTTTATTCCCATGGTGACAGCTCAGTCACTAAAAATCCCATCCACTCAGAGTGAGTCTGCATGCAGCAAGCTGGTCTCTGCCTCTGGGCCTCTCTGCCCGCACAGCTGTCCTCTGGGCCTCTGTCCTCAACACTGCCACCATTCCAGCCTCTGCTCGGCTCTCCTGCAGCCTTGAAGCCCTGCCACTGTGTTGCCCAGAGCACTGGGGCAGAGTTCTTTATATAGAGTCACTAACAACATATTGCCCACATATATGTAGTGAGCTAGGCAACCAGGGCCAGGAACTTTTATTTTATCCACACCCACATATGGTAACTAGAATCAGTGCATAGCTGAATCATGCAAAGCAAGGACTGCCTGTTTTTAAGGCCAGCTGATAGGTCAAAAAGGATGAAAAAAAATGCATGTGACTATAAATGTAGGGCCATGGCTACAGCAAATGAGTTGGAAGTGACCTACATGTTTTCACTCATAACTGGAGAACACTCGCAAGTAAACAGATTGAGCTTTCTCTAATGCTGGGTCTCAAGGCCACCAGAATCCTGACAATACTACAGCTTTTCTCTGGGAGAAACATGGTGCAGGTGAATATGGAAAGAACTCAAGAAATAATGATACAACTTCACTCTTACTTCTGCCATCTCCTCCGCTCCCCCGCAAACACACACACAAAGTGTCTGAGTATTCTTGAGCACTAATATCCAGTTACTGATAGTAGATTGCACATTTTTTTATAAAGCAACTATCTTTTTTAAAAATTCTGATTAATAAACATAAAAGAGCTCCTTTGATAACTGATTAAGAATATAATAAACACTTCCTATGTGCAGAGACATTCTTGAGCAAACTACAGAATAAATAAATAGGCAACACAGGTTTCTGATACTCTTAGACCAAACACAATTCAAAATATTAAACTGCTAATATAAAGTTTCTCATAAATTCATTTTATTTCAACCAAAAATAAGCCAGTTACACACTTCTGACTGGAATTATAAAATATAATCTTTTCAGCACGGGTATTCTCACCATGCCACGAACACAGAAAAGAGGCACTAAGGGACTTTTAAGGGGCTATTGTTCTTCTCTGGCAGCACTACATTAAACTCAATATAAACATCTGATCTTATAGAACAGGACACCTCTTCAAGAGGTAGCTTATTTTATACCTTAGTATTGCAAATACATTCATTGCATGAATTGGAGAAGAAAACAGGAAAAAGAAACAGCATTTCATGAAAATCCATTCCTAGATTACATCCATACTTTCTTACCACTTTATAGAATCATAATTTATTAGCTGATACTATTTAAAAATACTACTTCAGTAGTCTTAAATTGACATTGGAGAAAAATCACACACACAATGCCTAATCTTGGTGATATGTATAAATACAAACCCTTCCCTGCCTATGGCTCCTGCTGGGGTCCATACTGCCAGTGTCTGCATCCTGGGCAAGGCTGAAATGCCCCTGTGGCAGCAGCCCCACTTTGTTTATGCTCGACCCAGGGGGACAAGGACCCCAAGTGCTAAGTGCATATTTCGAGCATGTGTGTGGAATCTGTCTAGGACCACACTAAACTAGAAAAGGCAATTTCATAGATACTCCTTGAGAGTGAATAATTTTGCTTCCCCCAAAAAAAGGTTTTACACTACAGAGAATCAAGACTGATACACATTTTGAAATTTTCACTAAAATTACTATGCTGTCTTTCAAATTTGAGGGCCTCTGTTTTCATGAAGTAGGTGAAAGGGTAATCTCTCTTCTTTCCACATGATTAATCACCTGTACAATTACACATCAAAGTCCTTCAGCTCTCCCCAGCTGGAACCTATTTTCACTTTGACTTTCAGTTTCACAGACAGTTCTATGGCACTTTCCATTTCATTCTTTACGATCTGAGCTACCTACAAAAAAAAAAAAAAAAGAAGTTAAATTTTCTGCCTAATCATAAAATGTTTCACAACCACCCCCTGAGGTGTTAAGCCAGACTGGAGCTCTTCACCTCAAAATGTGCTTATGGTGCTTAAAACTTGAAATTCAAAAAGAGCCAGGTATCCCAAACTGGTCTGCGCCCATGAGTGCAGGAACTTGGCCAGTTTCAAGCAAAATGTGCAGAGCTTTGAAACCCTCAGGGCAAGACTCCAAATTCTCACCTAACTTCTCCCAAACAGAAACATCCCTGCATTAGGAATTTCTTTAAAAATGAGTATGAAACTGAGCACTCTTAGATCTTTCTACTAAGGACTCCAAAGGACTCAACATTTATATAGCCATCCTGGAGCTAGGGAGGATTCCAGAAACTCCATGCATCTTAGCCTGACCTACAGTATCTTAGCTTTCTATAGAATGGACATAAATATACCTGAACGACATCCTCTTCTGCCACTTCATATAAGAGTTCATCGTGCAGTTGAAGGATGAAGAAGCCTCCTCTGATTGGACAGAACATCCCTTGCAGTTTTTTCTTTGGTAACAATCCTAACCCATGAGAAGAAGTAGCAAAACTGATCAGCATGACACTGTGCCACAGGAGAATTTTTTCTTTTTAGAGATTTTAAGAAACTCTGGAAATTCCCAATTAAGAATAAAACACAAAAGATGTAGAACTATCAGGAAAATAACTGTTTGCTGGCTGCTTCCCAGCTCATTTATTAGGTGAACTTAAATCTCCATCAACTTCCTCCCAGAAAGGAGTCTAACAAAGAAGTCAGTAAATGGAGTTGGAAGAACACTTCTTCAAATTCTAGTCTAAGGTATCTCTCATAAATAACCAAGATCTCCTTCCACTGAGTCCCCACTACCAATTTTCGGAGAAGTGTGGAGTCTCATTCCTGCTCCAGGACAATGAACTGGTATTGTCATGAGTCAGTGCTTTATAACAGGGACAACTCCCGATGTTTTCTGAAGCCAAATGTGTCACTATTGTAGAACTGGTGCTTCCCTTATTGATTCATACACTCTAGACAAGGAGTTCGAACCCCAGGATCCAAATGAAGACTTCAGAGAATGTGTGAATCCCTTGAAATTATATGTAAGAGTCTATGTACATTTCTCTGTGGAGATGATCTATACCTTTCAGTAGATTCTCAAAATTTGCCAATCAAATTTCCATGCCTCCAAAAACGGTTAAAAACCACTATGGTCAACTTAGTTACTATTTCCTAACCAGCTGGGCCTAGTGATACAGACCATGCTCCTCTGATCACTAAGACAAGGTTCAACATCACTACCTTTGGAGTAACTGCCTTTACGTTTGGCCGTATCTTACAGCAGTCCTTCCTTTAAACCAATCAAATTTCCTATTTATCCTTCAGGACAGCACAAATACCACTTCCCTCAATATCTGGTGCTTCCCTTAGAGGTCTTTATCTGTCACTATTTGCAGTCCAGATTTTCTCAGAGGTGGCTCTCAAAGAGGAAAAGAACAAAAAGGCAGATGAGACCGTGGCAAGCTGCTTCCATACCAGGACAGCAAAGGCTGTGCATCCATTTGCCAGTTCGGCTGAAATATGACCTGCCCACTGGGCCCCACTTACCTCACATCATCGACCATCAGGAGGCTCTGGCTCTCCTGCTTTTTGATCTCCATACCTAGTCCTCCTGATGGCCCTTGGTTCCTGGCTTCTGACCCAGAATGCCACGATTCCCCTGTTCCTTGTGTGGTCTGCTTCCTCAGGCTCAACCCCTTTTGACCCCACTGACCTACTACTTCCTCTAAGCCAGCAGGACACCATGAAGTCATCTTCAGTGACATACCCACATTGCCTTCCACTCACTCTGAAGTTGTTATTGTCTTATCCTCATTTTGCCACTTAGCTGCTGTGAAGAGTTACGTAAATATTTCAGAGTCAGGTAATATATCTTCCCTTCCTTTCCTCAGAAGACTAAATTTAAACATACACTGATAACTTTCACTTCTAAATCCTCCAAAAGCACACAGTACCATATTATTCCCCAAGTAAGTTAAATCACACATTCTCTCCTTATAAATATGAGCGCCTGTGTGCACACACTTACTCTCACACACACAATGTTGAAAGAGCAGCCTTAGATATTTTGGGGGGAATTGTGGACAGTAAAATTAACAATCCTCAGATGATAGGCAAGTAAATTTTTATAGCTATGTATTTTTGTATATAAATGAACATCTTTATATCTATGTAAACTGGCCTTATTATCTTATGTCTTTTCTAGAAATATTCCATTCTCAATAGCTCATCTCTGCCTTTTCTGCTCTCTAGCAGTTTATTCTTCTCCTCTATGCCCCAAACTTTCTAAACTTCTCCAGAAAATTTAAAACATGGCTGAAGTCACGGTTTGACAATCTCAATGAGAATTAAATGGAAAACAGAAGTTGGACATGAGACAAAAAGGAAGAAGGGAAAGTTCTCTGTACTTGTTAAAACTAAAAATAATCTACCCAATAAGGATAGAACTTAGAAAAAATATTTTGAAAATAAGAACAAGATGGCAATATTGGCAAAGAAATGTATGTGACAAGATTGTATATTCCCAAACTTCAGAGAACATGGAATGTCATGAATAAGAAAGTCAACATGTTCTTAAAGTGTGGTCTGAGTGCCGGGAGCCATGCTACTCAAGCTGTGTAGCGAAGCTCAGGCTGGAGGAAGACCCCCCACAAAGCAGGAGCCTTCGCAGCTGACTCTCCCTATTACCCACCTTGATTTTGTTTTTCTCCATTATACTATTGGTTTTGTTTTTTGCTTGCATTGTTGCCAAGGGTTAACTAACCTTTGCTGAGCAGTGTGGAAAGGATGAGAACATAAGTTTCCCAGGAGCTTTTCAGGACAGTGCTCCTGAAGAATGGAACACGCAGGGGCCAAATGGCGATCTTGGCATAAAGTACCAAAACCTACTGTTAGTCAAATATTGACCACCCCATTTCCACTGAGAATGCCCCCCTTGTTTATAATGCTAGTGAAACTAGTGATGGAAAATTTTATAGAAATAGAGTCATGAGAAAATACTGAATAAAATAACCCTGTCTGACTATCAATCTTCTCATGTTTTCTTCCCTCTGCTACTTCTACAACTTTTCTTCCTCCTTCCTTATTAAAGCCATTTACTAATATTCGTGCCTCATATGTGAAATTACCAAATACCATAATTTTCCAAGAAGTAAAGATACCTCAGGACAAGTGCTGGGCCTGGAAGCCATAGGGCATAAATCTGCAAAGAAATGAAAAACTAACCTTTTCAAAGAATATTACTTCTCTCTCACTTACCAGCTTTACATCTCCCTGTATGGCCCCATAAGATGGCTGGTTAGCCAGAGACGGGTAAGATTCCTCAAGGGAGGAACAACCTCAGACAGGCACAGTTGCATGGGGGCCATCAGGTGAGAAAATGGGGGCCAACAGAGGTGAGGCTTAGAACCTCACCCCCCCAGTTTTGAGAGACACTGTCTACATCCATGGATGTCTTGTTGCCCTTGTTCAGCTTGGATTAATACCTGGTCTGTAGGCACAAACCTTATCATCTACACCTGCCTTCTTACAGTTCTAAATCATGCTTTCTATCTATATCTTGCATCTCCCTACTACATCAACATTTTATTAGAAACGTAAAGGAGAAAATGTGAGATTCATATATAAAGTATAAAAATCAAATGAATAATCATATGTCATATTTGACTTGATTGTTTATAGTTTAAAGTTTGTAGTTAAAACAGAAACAGTTTCTATGTTATGAATGCCCTTGCATTGTTCACCATGTAAGAACTTGTTTAGTCCTTGCAGTAGTGGAGTCATGGAGACCTGTGTAGCATATGTCAGGGAGATTTTGGTATCCACACAGAAGAAAGAGAAATGTAGATACGAAGGGGAAATTTAGTTTGCTGCCTACTGTGCCCTATAAGGGGGCATATGGTAAAAATATGAGATTTTAGATTGCTTATAAATTTATTAAAGTTTCCAAGAATATTTTTGTGGGAAAGAATCCTAGCTAACTGTGACACTAGGTAACCTGTATTTCACTCTGAGCTGATAGACTCCATAGTCACTGCTACATACTGCACGCTCCTATGGTCACATGCACTACTTAGAAACTGCATTGCATAGAAACGTAAAACACAATAGAGTCCATGTTGATAGGAAAAGTTTCGGTCAAGGAACAGAAAAACAATCACCTGTCTAACCCTTGACCAACCATGAATAGATTAGAAAGAAAAAGAAAGGAAAAAGCTTGCCTATACTTATTAATCAACTGCCTATGCTAATTAATCAACAGAATAATAAAAAATAATTATATCCTTGTGCAAAATGGTATAAATAAAGTTGTCATTGGCACTTTGTCGAGAGACCTCCTACAACTGACTCCGTGTCCTGTCTCTCCATACGCCGACTCCGTCCTGCACCTTTGGGCATCCCACCCCTAGTCTGGAGCTGGACTCCCGCATCTGAGGATCACAAAGGATTTCAGAAACCTTTTCAAACTGTCTGCAAAATTATTTTCATAATAACACTCACAGGTGATTTTCCTGCTTCAGTTTTATTTTCTCATAATTCTACAGGAGGGTGACCCACTATCCTGCTTTTAGCACTGAAATTCCCACAACCAGGGAAACCCATCAATCTCCCACAAACTGAGACATTTATCACCCAAGGCTGTACAGAAGTCTTTCCAGAGGTTACAGAACAGGTGATAATGCAACAAAATGAATCAGAAATAAGTAAAAGAATCCAGCTGTCTTCTCTTAAGCTAGAAATTAGAGATTTCCAGAAATGTAAAATAAAGCCATTCATCACTAAATTTGTTCAGTTTTGAAAAATGCAGTTCTTTTTATAAAAATGTTACTTAACATATGGTGAATTTATTGTTAATTTTAAATGTTAATAGATGTTTTTAAATTCTGTTTTAATTTCCGATATGGTAAATACTAAGGGATATACCCCACATAAATAAAAGCTTTTTGGGGTTCTTAATAATTCTAAGAGTATAAAGACTCATGAGACCAAAACATTTGAGAACTTTTGAGAAATAATATATAATATACTTCCCATTTTCTTCTCTGATATGCAATCTCACCATATTATAGCAGGGGTCTCATTTATGAACAAACCTGTTCTGTCATGTTGGACCACACCCTCCCGATGTCCATGGGATCTGAAGGTCGAATGGAAGGTCTCTAATTGCTTCTGAATGTTAACTGTAGCTATTTTGACAATATCAGCTGCCGAACCTTGGACTGTCGTGTTGATAGCTTGACGCTCAGCCTATGAAAAACAACAATAACAGGTGCTCCCATAAATCAACATTATTTCATACCTGCTTTTAGTGTCCCATAGATCAGTGCTCACATCTGCAACCAGACTGGAAATTGGAACTAAGATTGAGCCAGGACATCAACTATAAAGCTGCATCCTAAGAACAACCAGGGCTCTAGATTCTGGGCTATGTCCCACATGAGGATAAACTAAATAGAAAAAGGGTCAGACTGCATCAGTTTAGATATCTTCAATACTCAGAAACCAAAAACCACAATACACTTAAAGTATATTTAGTAGTTCAAATTTATTTAATTTTATAAACATGTTTCATCAAGGTTCTAAACTTTACTCTAAGTGATCTATTCCTCAAAATACAACTCCTCTTAATTCTAAATAGATGAAAGCAGAATATCATTCTTTGTGATGTGGGGCAGAATGTGCCAAGTGCTTCTGCTGTATCAGTGACCCCTTAGTCCTATCTATTGTTTGGCCCCAGCAGGTCTGGAGCTTTGTGGTATCAATCAGAGCTTTTTATGGACTACTTTGGCTAATCATTAGCTGCTAGTGAAAATGCAGACCCTAGATCCCTAGGTATGAAGTTAGAACTTCCCTGAAACTACTGCTGCCATAAGCTTCTTGGCTGGCAACCATAGCTGCTAAGAGCGGCCATCATAAAGTAGTAGGGACGGGGGTTCAATATCCAAGTTGTAACATATCCATAATGTATTGCTCCTGCTGTCCCAGTCTCAGAAGATAGGAAGGGTCTACTCGCTGGAGGGGTCTATGTAACTTGAGAGGTGTTCTCTAGTTCCTTGTCACTTAGGCTACAACCAACTCCTAGTATATTAAACACCTGCTAAAGAGACAGACTTTTTAAAAATAAACTGTTATTTTGTCAAGTGCTGATGAATACATTCTAAACTCTGTTGTCACTGCTTATAGAGTGACTGCATTTCAGAATTCTATGGACTTCTCTTTCTTGAAACTGTATGCCTTTGTTCAGTGAACTGTACTATTTGTTGCTCTTACTTGCTCCCATTCTCCATGAGGTTACACAGCCCCACCCATTGCCATGTGACCTAAAAGGATAATGACCTTGACTTGTTTTGGCCAATGAAATTTGAATAAAACTGACATGTAGCACATCTAAAAAATTTTAAAACCTATCTAACATTGTCACACAAAAAAAAGCATTTCCCAAATGGGGACTTTTCCTCCATTCCAGAATTCCAGAATGAAGAAAATATGAAGGAGAGCCACAGTCAACTCAGAACCAAATTGTAACATGAATTAAAAATAAAGTTTCTTACTATAAGCCACTGAAAGTTTGTGGAGTTGTTATTACTGTGACATACATAACTAAAACATACATACATAAGTGAAGATATATACTTCACTCTCATGATTTTGTACTTCTCTGATTCTCTTCCAAAATAAGAAAGCTTGGTAGTCTTGGCTTTGTGCCTCACAATCTCCATCCCTTCATCACCAGGGCTTTTTATGTACATTAAAAACAAAACAAAACATAGGTTTCAAGTAATAGGAGATTAGGACCAACCCTCCCACTGATAACAAAGCTGGGCAGAAAATAACTTACCGAATAAATCATACAGTTAAAAAGGAAGTTAAGAATTCGAGAACATAGAGGGCCAGAAGTGAAAGGAAACCAGGGAGGTGGTCCTGGCACTGGAGGCTGTCATTTCTTCCAGGGACATCAACAGACCCCAGAAGAGGCAGATGAGAGATTAAGAAGCTGAGCAGAGCTTAATGGTCTTGAGGGCTTGGGGAACAAATATTTGGGTTCAAGGCCCAACAAGTAGAAGAGGACCTGGAGAGTCATCAAGTTGCACCCTCAAAACTAACACCCAGGGAAAAAAGATAAACTAGAAATGGTCTGGTCCTAACACCCCTAAGGAGGGACCAAGGGAGGCCACCCCAAAATGTGCCACTTTGGCATGCAGATTATTTCATGCGGAAAACAATCAAGGCCCAAAGGCCCAAAACACTTGGGAAGAAACTCTGACCTTCCCACTTCCTGCTTAAAAAGAATTTAGATTAAGTACCTGCTCCAGGAAGAAAGCTATCACCATAGGTACTACACGTACACGAGTGAGGGATGGCAGGCAGGGAGGGATTTAGCAAAGGCCATTTAGAATTTCTATGTCCCACTGCTTCTGGATGGCCCAACAAACACTTGTTTACTAAACATTTACTTTCTTTCATCTTCCCATAACTGATTTCCTTCCCTTTGAAGTCCTACACCTCTATACCCCTGTCCTTAGTTTGGGATGACATATATACCTCATTTTGCCTGACTGACTTTGGAATCTCATCTCTGTGTGGATTCCTAGTACACAAATAATTTAATTTAATTTTCTCATGTTAATAACCTGTCTCATGTCAATTTAATTCTAAGACCAGCTAAAAGAACCTTGAATAGAAGAGGAAATTTTTCTTCCCCAACATTTGCTGCAAATCACCTCTACCACTGAAATTGGGACAAAGTAACCTATATTGTTGGTTATTCTAGTCTCCTGCCAGAAACAAATGTAAATCCACTGAATAAAAGTAACATAATCATACATGCCTCAAATGATATCCATAATCTTTCACATATAATGTTTTACAATAAAAAAATCACCAGGACAACAAAGAATTGAGACAATATAACTGTTTTTGTAGAAAACTAAGAAAAACAAAATTCAGTAGGCACAGACTATAGGGAATCAAGTATGAGACTTACTAGACTGTAGACTATTATCAAATTTATAACTCTAGAAAATAATGTTTAATATACTCAAGAAAAGGAGTGCAGACTAAAGATGGTGGCATGAAAGGTGAAATTGGGAACTCCTCCCAAAACAACTAATTCTAAAAGAGCAACAGGAAAGAAGGTTGCGCCAGACTGCATACACCCAGAGAAAAGAACAGACCTCACAAAACAGGGTAATGTACCAAAACCTTGATCCAGCAGGACCCAAGCCCTTCCCCTGCCCCAGCTCACTGGCAGGAGGAAGAGAAACGGAGAGGGGAGGGGGTGGAAGCCCTAGGTCTGCTGAATACTCAGCCCTGGAGATCTGCTTTGGGAGTACGAAACTACATTGCATGGTACTCTGGAGATTAGTGGGGTTGGAAAGCTAAGACAGGCAGAATACTTCAAGAGACTGAGATTCCAGCCATTTGTGGAAAATAGGGATCCACATCTGGCTGCTCTGGGACAAAAGAAAGGTGGGCACTCTGAGAGACTTCCTAACAGCAAGAGGGCTGTTAAAGGAGCAAGGACTGCACAGAGCTTGCTGTTCAGGAGAAAGGATAGGTGAACAAAACTGTCTGGGCACACTCTGCCCAGCAGACTGGAAACTTTCAGGAGCTTCAGGTGCTCCATTCCCCTGGCTGGCTAAGCAACTCCAAGGCCCCCCACTGTGACACACAGCCTGCTGCTGCACCTTCCACATGGCTGGCCAGCACCAGCTCACAACCTGGCAGTCCCTGCCCTGGCATCAGAACAGCGAGAGAAAGGCCCCACCTACAGCAGCAACAAACACAAAGCACAGAGGCATACACCTGTGTGCTCGGCCCACTGGTTCTCACAGTGGAGATAGGCACAGCATCTGGGAAACAGGAAACAGATCTTTCCTCCCCCCAGGCACCAGCACCACTCCCCTAAGATCCCTGATATCACTCCAAGGGCTGAGTAGCTCCAGAGAGTAGAGCTTCTGGGCATTAGAGGGCTCCACATACAAATATGGAACCTCAAAGGAACCTGATTCAAACAAAAATCCCACAAACTCTAGAAAAAGGGCCAAGTGAAACTGAACTCATCAATCTTCTTGAAAAAGAGTTGAAAATAAAAATTATAAACATGATCATGGAGGTACAGAAAAATATTCAAGAACTCAGGGATGAATTTAGGATAGAGAGTCAATCATTAAGAAATTCCATATCAGAAATGAAACATACAATGGAGGGATTTAAAAGCAGATTAGATGTAGTAGAAGAGATGATAAATGGAATAGAAGTTAGAGAAGAGGAATACAAAGAAGCTGAGGCACAGAGAGAAAAAAGGATCTCTAGTAATGAAAGAATATTCAGAGAACTGTGTGACCAATCCAAACAGAAAAATATTTGCATTATAGGGGTACAAGAAGAAAAAGAGAGAGAGAAAGGGATAGGACATGTCTTTGAGGAGGTAATTGCTGAAAACTTCCCCAATCTGGGGAAGGAGATAGTCTGTCAGGTCATGGAGGTACACATATCTCCCAATACAAGGGACCCAAGGAAGACAACACCAAGACATATAATAATTAAAATACCAAAGATCAAGGATAAGGACAGACTTTTAAAAGCAGCTAGAGAGATAAAAAAGATCACCTACAAAGGAAAACCCATCAGGCTATCATCAGACTTCTCAAAAGAAACCCTACAGGCCAAAAGAGAATGGCATGATATACTTAATGCAATGAAACAGAAGGGCCTCGAACCAAGATTACTGTCTCCAGCATGATTATCATTTAAATATGAAGGAAGGATCAAACAATTCCCAGACAAGCAAAAGTTGAGGGAATTTGCATCCAACAAACCAACTCTACAGGGTATCTTACAGGGACTGCTCTAGCTGGGAGCACTCTTAAAAAGAGCACAGAACAAAACACCCACTATGTGAAGAAGGGAGGAGGAGGAATAAGAAGGGAGAGAAATACAGAATCATCAGACCATGTTTATAATAGCTCAATAAGCGAGTTAAGTTAGACAGTAAGATAGTAAAGAAGCTAACCTTGAACCTTTGGTAACCACAAACTTAAAGCCTGCAATAGGAATAAATACATACCTTTCAATAATCACCCTAAATGTAAATGGACTGAATGCACCAATCAAAAGACACAGAGTAATAGAATGGATAAAAAAGCAAGACCCATCCATATGCTGCTTACAAGAGACTCACCTCAAACCCAAAGACATGCACAGACTTAAACTCAAGGGATGGGAAAAGATATTTCATGCAAACA